TGGGTTCTGAATGATAAAGCTTAGGTTTTCTTGGTTTTAGAAACCAGTGGTCATATAGTTAATTAAGCCCTAGTGAGAGTCCAGCTCCTCAGTTTTGATGGGCAGAAATCTGCTCTTTGATGAGGGACTAAGTAATACAAGCTCCTCTGCCGATTTGTTCTTTCTCCAGGTATATTATGCTGATTTGGGGTGAGAGACTCTACTTACGTTGCATGGTGTTTAGCACAGGTGCTGTATCTTTATCAGACCAAGTGTTTGACAGTCTACTGTGCCAGAGAAGGCTCCAGCGGAGAAGTTGAAGAGAATGTCTGAGAACTGAATAGCCAGTTACTAGTCATCTGCTAGTATAGACTGAGGAGTGACCAAAACCTTCACGTTTGGCAGTTCCCCAATCATTGGTCATGGTGATATTTTGTGGGCAATGCTGGGCAGGTAGTCTTCAGAACTCCTTATGTGTCTTCCCAGGTTTTGTGGTTTTGATTCTTAATGTTTTTGGATGTACTTTATGGATCAGGATTTCTAAAATTGGGTATGTGGCTGTTCAAGATCTTATTTTCCTCAGTGCTGGGCTTGCCTTCTATCTCAGAAGCATGTTCTCTCTGAGGGTTGCTGAAACTGGAAAGATTTCTGGCTCTTTGTGAGTGGCCTGTGATCTAGAGCCCATGATCTCAAATCAGGCTTCCTCCTGCAGTTTCTGCCTCCTGCAGGTGTTCCCATTGCCTGAAGTCTTCTTTCCAAGATGGCTGCTTTATAAGGTCAGCAAGGGAGTATTGGTATTTAATGATGGAGGGTGACTTGAAAACCTGGGGGTGACTTGAAACCCTGGGGGAGTTCCATGGCCGGGGACAGCCTGTCACCCCAAATACATGTGCTGGTGTTATGAGCACTTCACACAGAGTTCTGATTCCTGCTTCTTGCATGCCATTCCTAGCCTGGCAGCCCTTAGAGGGTCAGTTGTGGGTGGTTACAGTACAGCTAGGACAGAAATTTCTATATGAGTAAACTAAGGATTCCAAGGATAGTCGGAATCTCATGTGCAAATATGCCAGGATCAAGCACATCTCTTTTAGACTAAGAGGATGTGAGTGCTGGCTTTGGGCTGTCACCTGCAGCAAGTCCTCCCTGCCCTCTCTGCCCCTCAACGTTTTCATCCACTCTTAGCAAACAGGTCTTAACAGGTAAGCAAGTCCCTGAGGGTCCCCAGCCTTGGCCGTGTTCCCCTCTAGGGTCCTGGCTTCCTCTTCCTGTGGCCTCTCCACTTCCCTTTGATGCTTTGAGTTTCTGCTTTGGGGTATGAACAGGGAGACAAAGCCTCAGTGTGTGCTGGGTCCAAGGCCATTTGGGAAAGAGGATGAGGGAGTGGAGCCTGGACACGCCCTGGATCCATTCCTGCAGCAGCCTCACAATGTGTACTGTGTCCTCTCTCAGCCCATAGGGGCGGGTGAGGAACCAGCACTGACAGAGTCAAGCGTGTGCCTGGCCCTGTGATCATACAAGGCTGGCATCTTTTCCCCCTTCTTACATGTGAGAAAACAGGCTGAGGTTAGATGAAGCCTCAGACTGCCTGGAGATGGGGCTTCCCTTCGGATACGGTGTTTTTATAGAGATGAGTCCTGATTTGTCATGGGGGCTGTGTCTCTGAGAAGGAACTTTCATATCCCACTTCACGCTTAGGCCCTGAGAGGAAAAGTGGTCTAGATCCTGGAAGTTTTGCAAGCTGGGGAGGATGTCCAGAGTTCCCATGGACTGAGGGGCTCCTGCTTTGTCACAGTAGAGCAGGTGTTGCATCCCAGAGCATTCCCTCAACTGAGTGCCCTTGAGAGGGAGGGGGGCTGCTAGTGGAATCCTTTGGGGACTGTGGACACTGCCAGACCTTCAGGCATGTTCAAACTTCCCAGTTCAGGGGCTTTCCCTAAATGGCCTTGAAAATGCAGAGATGTCAGCTTCCCTGTGACTTGGGTAGGTTCCTTGTGGAACTCAGATTTGTTTTGCTTCCTGTGGCCTTTATATTAAAATGAATCATTGCCAACCAAAGTGCTGCCTATTTCTGATGTTTGCAGTACCAAGATGTTCAGAGATGCATGGATTTTAGAACGTTCAGGTTAGAATCTCTCCTTGTCTGAGGAGTACCCAAGACACCGGGGACTGTTTGCTTCCGGGTGTAGATCCAGGTTGAACACCTATCCTGTGGCCAGGGCTCTAGTACCTTGAGGAGCCAGAATTTGCAGAAGGGAGGGCAGGTGCAGGGTGGAGTGGCTTGGCTCTGTTTTTCTGACATGGCTTATCCCAAATGTTGTCTCTAAAGCTGTGGGTAGACCATAGTGAAAGAATTTGTTTCTGTAACCAAAATGAAGGTACACAGTTCTGCTCTTCCATCGCCTAGTTTGATATTGAGCATTATAACTTACTTTGGTGAAACCTGGGGTTTTCTTTAATGTTTGTTATTTATATTACACGTTATTAACATGTTAAAATGTTACTTGGCATAGTTCAAATAAGTGTATATTTTCTAAGTCTGGCTGTGTGGGAGCCTTGACCAACCTGGGTTTATGCCTTAGGGCATGTCTGACAACAGAACTGTGGCTGTTGGGGGTCAGCAGAATGGGAAGCTGAGCCAGCCAGGGGAGCTTGAGGAGATGAGGGCCCTTCTCTATTCTCTCTGTTATAAAGTGCCCTTACGTAATTGAGACAGACTTGAAAAAGCACTGGCGCTGCTTACTCATCTGTGCTGATGGAACACACGGCGCTGGGCACAGGCCTAACTGCCTGGCCACTGAGGCATATCCCATGGGCCTGGCCAGCCACTTGGCACCCATCTGGAGCCTCTCCTGGTCTCTCTTGGCCCTGTTCAATCTTCTCTACAAGTGGCTTCTCCTTGGCTGACTTCATCCAGAGCTCCATTCTTGGCCCTCCCTTTCTCCTTTCTCTGCCTGATCTCTTGCAGATGTGCTCTCATTCCAGTGGTAGTCATTGGGATGGAGTGGGCTTAGGAGAAATACCCTTGGGTGGCCGGAAACCTGGGTCCGCGCCCTGGCTCACCTACTCTCTTCCTCTCAGGAAGTTCTTACCCCACCCCTGTAAAAGATCTCATGGTTCCCTTGACTACTCCATTTGGCCTTAACATCTTTGCTTCACATTTTTTGCAAAACTAGATCATTCAACCTTTGCTTTATATGTTTGTATGTGGATGTGGCAGTTTTTGTATTTAACATAATTGAACTGAAAAAATTTAAAGCATAGGTTTTTCAGTCAAAGCAGTTGTGATAAGTATTTTTGTAGCTAAAAAAGATTGTAAAGGAAGAATATATTTAGTGTTTTTCATGGATTTGAAGACACCCATGTTTACAGTTATTTTACCGTTTCTGATGTTGGTTCTGTTTGCAGTGGATGGTGAGTGATGGGATGGGAGATTCTTAGTGGTTCATTAATTAGATGACTGTGCACCCTAGTGTTGATGGAATGTGGTCACAAAAGAAACTCTGTGAACTCAGTAGTTCAGAGAGCAGTCAATAAAGGACAACTCCTAATAATGTCATATGTCTTCTCATGGCTTTTTGCTGGAGGTAAGAAATCTCTTTACAGGCAGGGTAAATATCTGGTCTCTGATAAGGTTGATGGAATGGCATGCTCATTGACACCCGGGTCCTAGCTGGGAAGAGCAGGTATGAGTTCAGGGTCTCTTCCCCAATCACTCAGGCACCCGGCTCTTGGAAGGAGGAAGCCTGACGAACCAGAGCCCCTGGGGAACCCAGAAGCTATAGCTGTGGCCTTCCTGCCACAGGGAGGGAAGCGTTTTAGTTTCCCTCTCCTGACAAGCAGTGACCATGAAGGGCAATCCCTGGGCTGAGGCTGGCAGTAAGACATGCCATCTGTTGGCCATTGTGTTTCTGGACTTGACGGACAGGGCAGTGGAGCTGACTGAGAGTGCCTTTAGGCAGACCAGAGAGTGGGTCCCACCTTTCTTGCATTGGGGGCAGGAGTAGGTGTTTCCCGAAGGTGAGAGAAGTCATAGATGGGGCCTGGGCAAGAGGCGAGTCTTGTTTCCCTCTTGTCAGCTGATGGTGGAAGTTTTTATGGTGGCATTCCCTTGGGGGCTTTACGTATTACCAGTCATGTTGCTGTGGAGAAGGACTTCCACCCTGAAGTAAGTCTGGGAGGTCTGTTGGGTGGAAAAGGGGATGAGCTCCTGAGGCCTGCTCTGTGCTTCGGCTTTCCAAGGACAGAGGTGAGCTCTGTCCATTTCCCAAACTTAGTTGACTATAGAATTCTCTTTTAGAGAGACTGGAGGTCCTTGGAATGCCTTTCATAAACGCTCTTCTTAGGATAATTGTTTACATTCCCCTACCCTGGACATTGCAGTTTTTCTTGAGATTTGAAAAGCACTGTTAAGACATTAGATACAGCTAACCAAATGTGCCCCACTACACTTGAATGTAACATGGTGGTTGTAAAATGAGGCATTTGGGGGTATTGAGTTGTCCCTGCACCCAGACCTGTGTGCATTTCCACTTCTGGGCAGGAGAGGCACTCTAGGCCAGGCATATACCTTGAGCAAAGTTGTGGTGTCTGTGGAGGGTAGGGTAGAAGTCTGAGGCAAGGTTGGAAAGTAGTGCTGAGGCGTGAGACACCCAGGCTTGATTCTGCAGGCAGAGTGGACGAGTAGGTGGCAGGGCACTTCGTTGGTATAAAAACCTGCAACATTCTTGAGCTCCATGGCATCAGTTCTCTGGGATGAGACATGTGTTTTGAGTGCCAGAACTGCTGTCTCCCCACCGTGTGGCCTTGGGCGAACCATTTGCCTTCCATGCTAGCCCATCTGGCAGCCCCAGTCTTTCGTGATAGGTAAATGAGCTCCAGGAGAGAGGCGTTGGTTCCTCCACCAGGAATTCTGAATTGTACCTCAGGCCTGTCACACAGGCTAGGCCATTGGTTCACTGTTGTGATCATTTTCGGGTTATGCAGTGATGGTGGCAATTAACTCATGCTGACATCTCTTCTAGGTATCAGCAGCAGGGAAGGAGACCTTACCATCCTGGCTGCAGTGGGACCCACAGAGCCACACCCTGGAGGGTCTCCCCCTTGACACTGATAAGGGCGTGCATTACATTTCAGTGAGCACTGCACGGCTGGGGGCCAATGGAAGCCACGTCCCGCAGACTTCCAGTGTGTTCTCTGTTGAGGTCTACCCTGAAGACCACAGTGAGCCACAGTCTGTGCGGGCGGCGTCACCAGACCCTGGTGAGGTGGTATCATCTGTCTGTGCTGCCGATGAGCCTGTGACTGTCCTGACGGTAATTCTGGATGCTGACCTCACCAAGATGACCCCAAAGCAAAGGATTGACCTTCTGCACAGGATGCGGAGCTTCTCAGAAGTGGAGCTTCACAACATGAAGTTGGTGCCAGTGGTGAATAACAGACTGTTTGACATGTCGGCTTTCATGGCTGGCCCAGGAAATGCAAAAAAGGTGGTAGAGAATGGGGCCCTGCTCTCCTGGAAGCTGGGCTGCTCCCTGAACCAGAACAGTGTGCCTGACATTCGTGGTGTGGAGGTCCCTGCCAGGGAAGGTGCTATGTCTGCCCAGCTTGGCTACCCTGTGGTGGGTTGGCACATCGCCAACAAGAAACCCCCTCTCCCCAAACGTATCCGGAGGCAGATCCATGCCACACCCACACCTGTCACTGCCATTGGGCCCCCAACCACAGCCATCCAGGAGCCACCATCCAGAATTGTGCCCACCCCCACATCTCCAGCCATTGCTCCTCCAACCGAGACCATGACTCCTCCAGTCAGGGATCCTGTTCCTGGGAAGCCCACAGTCACCATTCGGACTCGAGGTGCCATTATTCAGACCCCAACCCTCGGCCCCATCCAGCCCACTCGGGTGTCAGAAGCTGGCACCACAGTTCCTGGCCAGATCCGCCCAACAATGACCATTCCTGGCTATGTGGAGCCCACGGCAGTTGCTACCCCTCCCACAATTACCACCAAGAAGCCACGAGTATCCACGCCAAAACCAGCCACACCTTCTACTGATTCCTCAACCACCACAACTAGAAGGCCGACCAAGAAGCCACGGACACCCCGACCAGTGCCCCGGGTCACCACCAAAGCTCCCGTCACCAGATTGGAAACCGCCTCCCCGCCTACTCGCATCCGCATCACCACCAGTGGGATGCCCCGCGGAGGAGAACCCAACCAGCGCCCAGAGCTCAAGAACCATATCGACAGGGTGGATGCCTGGGTTGGCACCTATTTTGAGGTGAAGATCCCGTCAGACACCTTCTATGACAACGAGGACACCACCACTGATAAGCTGAAGCTGACCCTGAAGCTTCGGGAGCAGCAGTTGGTAGGCGAGAAGTCTTGGGTGCAGTTCAACAGCAACAGCCAGCTCATGTATGGCCTGCCTGACAGCAGCCACGTGGGCAAGCACGAATATTTCATGCACGCCACAGACAAAGGGGGCCTATCAGCTGTGGATGCCTTCGAGATCCATGTCCACAGGCGCCCTCAAGGGGATAGGGCTCCTGCTAGGTTCAAGGCCAAGTTTGTGGGTGACCCAGCAACTGTGGTGAATGACATTCACAAGAAGATTGCCCTGGTGAAGAAGCTGGCCTTCGCCTTTGGGGACCGCAACTGCAGCACCATCACTCTGCAGAATATCACCCGGGGCTCCATTGTGGTGGAATGGACCAACAATACACTGCCCCTGGAGCCCTGCCCCAAGGAGCAGATCACGGGGCTGAGCCGGAGGATCGCTGAGGATGATGGCAGACCTCGAGCTGCCTTCACCAACGCCTTGGAGCCCGACTTCAAGGCCATGAGCATTTCTGTGACAGGCTCTGGCAGCTGTCGGCATCTACAGTTTGTCCCAGTGGCACCACCCAGGAGGGTGCCCTCAGAGGCACCACCTACGGAGGTGCCAGATCGGGACCCTGAGAAGAGCAGCGAGGATGATGTCTACCTGCACACAGTCATTCCGGCCGTGGTGGTTGCAGCCATCCTGCTTATCGCTGGCATCATTGCCATGATCTGCTATCGCAAGAAGAGGAAGGGCAAACTCACCCTCGAGGACCAGGCCACCTTCATCAAGAAGGGGGTGCCTATCATCTTTGCAGACGAACTGGACGACTCCAAGCCCCCACCCTCCTCCAGCATGCCGCTTATCCTGCAGGAGGAAAAAGCCCCCCTCCCCCCTCCTGAGTACCCCAACCAGAATGTGCCCGAGACCACTCCTCTGAACCAGGACACCGTGGGAGAGTACACACCCCTGCGGGATGAGGATCCCAATGCGCCTCCCTACCAGCCCCCGCCGCCCTTCACAGCCCCCATGGAGGGCAAGGGCTCCCGTCCCAAGAACATGACCCCATACCGGTCGCCCCCTCCCTATGTCCCCCCTTAACCCACAAGCGCCTGGGTGGAGGCAGGGGTAGGGCAGGGCCCTGGAGACAACACGGTGTTGTCTGTGGAGACCAGTGGCCTGCAGACCATCGCCCACTGGGAGCCGACACCTGACCTAGCACACGCTGACACACACGGGGCCTGGACAAGCCCGCCCACTTGGTCCTCCTAAACCCCAAAGCAGCTGGAGAGACTTTGGGGACATTTTTACTTTTAATTTTTGCCTAACAGCTTTTTGTTTGTTCATAGAAAATTCTTCGCTGCGTTTTTGAAGGCTGGCTCTGAAAGCACCGTTTGGAGTAGAGGTAGATGGAGGGAGCGAGGAACCGTGAATGAACTCGCAGGCAGTGCTGGGCGGCCTCCCGGCTCTCTGCGTTTTGCCTTTAACACTAACTGTACTGTTTTTTCTATTCACGTGTGTCTAGCTGCAGGATGTAACATGGAAAACAGTAGCTAAAGATTAAATTCAAAGGACTTTCAGAAGTTAAGGTTAAGTTTTTACATTTAATCTGCTGTTTACCTAAACTTGTATGTGTAATTTTTGGGTGGGTATGGGAAATTGCTTTGCTAAAAATAAGCTCCCAGGGTGTTTCAAACTTAGAGAAGACCAAGGGACAGTATTTTTTATCAAAGGAATCCTATTTTTTCACACTACGTAAACTTTGTTGCTCTGATACCCCAGAGAGCCTGACTGGGGGCCTCCTGGCCCTGGCTCAGGGGCCAGGGCCCTGGTGCTGGGTTTGCTGTCCCACTGTTGCCAGGGGCTGGAAGCTGGAGGGGCCTCTTAGGCCATGGACATCCACACCCCCACCCCATGCACGCTAGCGGCCCACAACCAAGGGGTCTTCATTTCCATAGAAAAGGGACTCCAAGAGGCAGTGGTGGCCGTGGCCCCCAACCTAGGTGCTCCAGGTGGGCCAGCTGCTCGTGGGGATGCCTGGGGAGGTCGAGAGACTCGACCACATCAGCCTGTTTTCTTTTACCCTTTTTCTGTGTGTTTTTTTTTTCCCCCTCCTAAAAGGAATATCACGGAGTTTTGAAACACTCAGTGGGGGACATTTTGGTGAAGATGCAATATTTTTATGTCATGTGATGCTCTTTCCTCACTTGACCTTGGCCACTTTGTCCCAACAGTCCACAGCCCAACCCTGACCCACCCCACCCCTTTTCTCTGGCGCTCCAGTCCCAGGCCTTGGGCTTGAACAGCTGGGAAAGGTCTGGTGGCTGGGGAGGAGTGCCAGCAATAGTTCATAGTAAAAATAGGGGGGCTCTCAAAGCTAATTTTTTACTAAAGTTTTTATACAGCCTCAAATTGTTTTATTAAAAAAAACGATTAAAAATGGTGATGCTTACAGCAGTTTGTACAAGCTCCTAGTGTTGATTCCATGGGACTGACGGCTTTGCTCATTTTGATTTTTTTCCCCCCTTCTTTTCCTAATGGTTTAAATTCTGGAATTACACTGGGGCTTCTTTTGCCTTTTTTAGCAGAACATCCGTCCATCCATCTGCATCTCTGTCCCGTGACTCAGGGGCACCCACTCAGCTTTGATTCTCCTCCTTTGGAAGAAACCATTTTGAGCATGACTTCTTGATGTCTGAGAGTTATTTTGGGTACCTTTTAGGGAGGAATGCCTTTTGCAATAACGTATCCCTTCCGTGATCGAGGGCGGGTGGGTGGGTGGACCCAGGCTCCCTTTGCACACCAAGCAGCCACTTCTAAGCCATACTGACCATTTTGCAGAGGATTCATGTGTGCTGCCTCAGGAGGGGAGGAACGGTCAGAGTGGAGGGGTCTCCACCCTGCCCTTCTCTGGAGGGTATTCCCGCTTGCGCCTTCTCCCCCAGGGCCTAGCCTCTCTCTCCTGCCTGGTCCCCTGGTGGGGTGAGCAGTGCCACTGTGGGGGAAGCCTGTAGATGAGGGCTCAGTGGACCTGTGATGACTGGGCCTTGTGCCTCCAAGCCCTGATCCAAGCCGGAGTTTCCCCAGTGCCCCGGAGTCAGGAGCGCAAGCTGAGTCTGACCTGGTGAGATTATTTTTGATGACCTTGCCAAAAGATAAACAATTTCCAGTGTTCCAGGTGAGGGCTTTGAAAGGCCTTCCAAATAGCTCCGTTGCCCCTAGCAACCCCACCATCGGGCATTGCCACGCAGAGACGTGGCTGGCCCAGAATGGCCTGTTACCATAGCAACAGGAGGCGATGGGGCAGTGAACAGAATAACAACAGCAACAATGCCCTTGCGGGCCGCCTCCTCCCCTGAGTGCCCGGCTGGCAGTGGTCTTTGGACTCTGTGAGACAGAGAGCCAATCTCACATTCAAGTGTTCACCAACCACTGACGTGTTTTTATTTCCTTCTATATGATTTTAAGATGTGTTTTCTGCATTCTGTATAGAAACATATCGAACTAAATAAAAGTGTCTTTATTACAATACCATTGCCTCCAAGCATCTTTTTCCCTAGCCCCTACACAACATGAGTGTAGGGTGGAACTAGAGTCCATGTAACAGAGGGAAGAGGGGACCCAGCTAGGCCCACTCGGAGGTGGCCTTTGAGCAGCTGACCAAATAGCCTTCACATCCTTACCGTTTCTGTTCCTCTGGGAGGGGTGGGTGTGTGCACCAGAAACTCTGTCAACCAATGAGCCCTCCTTAGCACCTCTTCTGCCTGAGCCAGCTGAGATAAATCTCCTTGAGCCTCAATTTCCTCATCTGTAGTGCGGGGTGGGGAGAGGAACGGGCAGAAAACCCAGTGAGACTGGGCGGGAGAGGAGGATGGTGGGAGAGGTCTTGCTAAAAGCTGTCTGCCCCAGAGTGGGTCAGCTTCTGCAGGTTCCAGACAGGGGTCCCTCAGGCTGGGCCCCCTGCCTACTACCTTGTGGGGTTGAGGCTGGCCAGTCTCCCAGGTAGTCTCAGGCAGGTTTGGCCTTGGCCTTGGCCTTGGGGTGGGGAGAAGGGGAGAATGGTTTCTGGCCAGGATGTTCTGCCTTCATTGGGCCTGTAGTTTCTGGGGGCCTGCCCCTAAGTGCCCTGCCTGGGATGGACAGGCCAGCTGGGTAGCCTTAGCATGACTTAGTGCCCAGGAAGGGGCAGGTTGTCCTGGGACACTGCCAGGGCGTGGGAGGCAGGGCATGCAGCAGCTGTGTCTTCAGAGGCAGGATCAGGGCCATTGGTCACAGAACAACTGGTGCCTCTTTTGGGCTCACTCCCACCACCACAGGGTCCTCAGCATCTCCACCTACAGCACCCAGGCTGCTGCTCTGCTCACAGCTTTCAAGACCCAGAGCTGAGACTGGTCCTGTATTGCAGATAGAACGGAGTCCCAGAGTGGGGAGTTGGGGGTGAATTACTTGTAGGATACCACACTGATAAATACCAGGAAAAGCTGTCCCCAGTGCAGAGTTCAGGGACACATACCTCACCCCAAGACCTAGCAGCAGGAGCCCAGGAAATGACCCTGCCTTTGCTCTCTTGGCCTCAGGAAGTTCTGCTTAATGTTTAACCTGAAGCCACTGATGGAGGTGACCCTAGAGTCTCAGCTGGGGTGGGGCTAAGTTGGTCTGTTTGTGTCCCTGTGAAGGCTCCTTGTGTCCAGGAGGTGCCCCTGGGTGGTTTCCGGGCGGTAGCAGGGGCAGCTCTCAGCCTTGGTAGTGGTTCAGGGGCGCCCCATGTCAGCCCGGCGGAGAGCCAATTGCCAGGGGCTCTGGGCCACAGAGGGGGGACAGTGTCCATGGACTCCCAGGAGGTGGCGCCTCAGGCTGGAGTAAGCCTGACAGCAATGGGCAAGTCAGGCTGTGGGCGGGGTTAAGTAACAGCGGAGGCTGGCTGTAGGAGGGTGGAACCCGGCCTAGAGCAGAGCAGAGATGGCCGGGCACTGGACCAACCCTGGAGGGGGGCGGGGCCGAGCGGGGCTGTAGGCAGGGCTAAGGCGGTAGGGCCTGCTGCCGAGAGCCGCTCCGAGTTAGGCCGCGGACTGGCGCTTTAACTGGGCGGGTCTTTTCTCGCTCAGACATCTAGGCAGAGACCCTGAGGGCGTTAGGGTGCGAGTTGCAGGGGTTTGGAGCCTGCCTTTCGCCGCGGCCGTTCTCCTTCAGAAAGGGAAGCTAGCAGAAAATAAATGGGAGGGGCGAGTCTGGGGCCCAGGCTTCCAGATGCCTTCTGTTACTGGGGCCCTGCTGGCAAACGTTGAATTCGGACGTACTTAGGCAGGAAGGAATAAGGACCTTTCCTTTGCACCTTAGCTTTTGTAAACCTCCAGGATTCCTGCGGTGGAGGCCAGCATGGGGCCTGCACACAGTAGGGCTCAGCGCTTGTTAGATGCTCCCTGAGTCTCCTCTTCCTCCAGCCTGAGAGCTGAGAACACGGCCTAAAGTGCTGCGGATCTGGGAGGGTCCTGGATGGAAGCCAGGCGGCTCCAGTTGCTGTGCCCCTAGGAGAAGACACTTGGCAGTAGAAACAGACAGGGATGGGGTAGCAGATGACACTTTCTCTGAGTCGACCCTGGAGTGGGGGCACCCTGAAGCCCCAGGGAACACCCTGCCCAAAGCTCTCTCCACAGCCCTGGGCACTCACTAGGACAGCAGGGAACATCCATTTGGCAGCTGGCTAGAGCTCCCAAAGGCAGGGCTGAGTGTATTCTTGCCTTGTGTCCTCATGGTGTTGCAGCCTCAGGCTGTAGAGGGCAAAGCCCAGGTTTGGGACTTGCTAAAATGGCTGGGAGTTCAGGTTAGGCCAGCTCCTTTTCCAGGGATCATGCCCCATTTCCCTCAGCATCTCTGTTGCAAAAGGTCTTGGGAGAGAAAGGTGAAGAATGGGGCTGGCTCCAGCCCACGATGGTAGGGGATGGGGAGGTCCTGATGGGAGGTGGCAGCAGCTTTCCTCTGGGTGTGCCTGTGGGAGAGGACCAGCTTTGTCCTGGGTGAACTCACCCTCAGGGAACATGTGCCTAGTTGGGCTGGACAAGAAGCAGGGCCTGGGGGATCCGCTGAAGGGGATGGAGTCCTCCTCTTGTTTGAGGAGCACATGGTGCATATGTGTGTAGGGGGGAGGCCAGCGTTTCTGTGTCCAGTACCGTGATTAGAGGGCAAATGAGAGGCTAAGGAGGCATCCAGTGTGACCCCAATGGCTCTGACTCAGCAGCCACTGTGCCTCCCAAGGCTCACCCTGTGTCCCAGGCAGTACAATCAGCTTACTCCTCTCCTCAGAGACACCCTAGGCCAGGCAGGGCAAGAAGAGGGACACAGCCACCCTCTGAGCCCCAGGAAGATCCCTGGAGCAGATCCGGGGATGAGGGAGGGCTTGGTTGAAATGAGCAGACTGGGGGAGGGAGGGCTCAGGGGAACACATGACCTTTCTGTTCTCTGAAGGCAAGAGGAAGATGTACTTTGTTCAGCCTTACTAGGAATTCCTCAGTCTGTACTGTTAGCTTATGGTCAGAAAGGCCACCTTCTCAGAAAGCTGATGCCCATGCCAGGCCTGCCAGCTGGGGGAGTTATTAATACATAACTAGCAGTGCTAACCCAGCTGCTGCTGTGCAACTGATACCTGCTGCTACCCACCCCAGAACCCCAGGGAAACCTGAGTGTGACTTCAGCCCTTACAGCCTGGCCTGGCCTGGTGGTGCTTTGGCCACACCCACGGATGCAGGGGATGGTAGTGGTCCTGCATGGAGGGCCAGCAGTCAAGCCCTACAGATTCAGGGCCTGGTTTGCGCAGCAGGCAGACAAAGGCCAGACTTGGAGATTGCAAGTTCAGTGAGGGTGGAGTAAGCTCAACAGCCTTGATTTCTGCTGCATCCTTGGGCCCTAGCATGATGCTGTCTTTATTCTAGGGCTCAAAAGTGCCAAATTGAACTGAAATTATTTAACTAAATTGAATTTAACTGAATTGAAATCATCCATCCTAGAAGAGGCCTAAGGGACTGTGGACCTTTCTACTTGCCATAAGGGTTTTGTTTCACCGACCTGCCCTATTCTGTCCATCTTTCCTGGAAGGCAGGAATTCTTCCAGTGGCTCCTGGAAGCTCCCTGGACAAAAAAAAACCTTATCATAATCCACTCTGATCAGGACAAAGATAAAGCTCAGTGCAGAGAGTAGCTATGTCCCATGGCCTGAAATACCTGGTGGTAAAGGTTAATTCCCAATAATGGGCTTGGGTTTGCAGTAGTGGAGCCACAGAGGGTCAGGAGGTAGGGTTCCCTTTAATAGACTTCCCTGAAGACATGTGGAACTGAGTCTGATGAAGGGGTTGAACTAGCTTTCCCTTCCCGTGAACTGTCCAAGTCATGTATGATCCTCTGTTGCCTGGAGTAGGATACATGGGCTGGTTAAGAGAGGGCATAGGGGCATGACTTGCCACCTGACCTGTTCCCCCCGCTCCCCATCCATGGAACAGAGGTAGGTGGAAGCAACTCCATGGAAACTGGGATCCTAGTGGGAAGGACTGCAATAGTAACTGAGGTAGCATTTTCTTTTTTTTTTTTTCTCATTATTTATTTATTTTATTTTTGGCTGTGTTGGGTCTTCGTTGCAACACGTGGGATTTTTGTTTTGGTGTGCAGGCTTTTCATTGCGGCAGGCAGGTTTTCTCTCTCTATTTGTGGCGTGCGTGCCTAGTAGTTGTGGCGTGCGGGCTTAGTTGCCCCGCGGCATATGGGATCTTAGTTCCCTGACCAGGGATCCAACCTGCTTCCCCTGCACTGGAAGGCAGATTCTTTACCACTGGACCACCAGGGAAGTCCCGAGGTAGCATTTTCTATAGTTTACAGGAAACCATTTGTGTGCTTGTCTCTCCCCTTCTGCAAACTGAACTTCTTGAGTGAAGTTCCCACAGTCTTCACTGGGCCTGGCGCCGAGTAAGAGTTAGGTATGCACTGGCTGAAGGAGGATGAGTGTGCGTGCATGCACGAATGAGATCTGCAAAGCCAGCCTGGAGGCCTGTTTGGGGGAAGGCAGAGGGGCAAGGAAAGCAGCATGTTTTGACTTGGACAATTACAACTTGGAGAAGCCATGTCTTCATTATGTCACAACAAGCCTTTGGAAGCACATAACTCTAATAGCAATGGGGCTTAATTAGCTTTCTTGGGAGCAATGCATGGGCGGTGGGGCTAGGCTAGTGATAAACATTTCCGATAATTTTTTTACTGGCTTTTTTCACATAATTCAAGTAAAGATTTGCACATTGCAACAGTAAAGGAACTATGCAGACAAGGCATCAAGCAAATTCTATACTTTTCAGTTTTGCTCCCTTTTCCTACTCTACAAAGGGCATGGGTCATCTGAAGATCCTAGTACACAAGCAAAATTGTCTTAGCCAGCCCAGATGAGCTGCTGAGCAGGACAAAGATCAATCAGGTTTCTTGTTTGTAGCCTCATACCAGCCTTAGGCTTGCTTGAGAGCTGCCTTATTCCCCATGTTAGTGGGTAGTGCTGACAA